AGCGAATCACAACTCTTAAATATAATTGCTGAGAGACCATCAGCATCAGTGAGCGAGGAATTTTTTATGTATCTTATCCCTTTAATTATGTCCTCATCGGAAAGAACGAGAGCGCCAAAGTCAACGGGAGAAGACATGGTAGAAGAAAGTTCCCGTTGAATACAATCCAAATCATCGTCGGACACATCTTCATCCGAAGCGAAATTAGACGAAAAAAAATCAGCAAACAAGTTGGCCGCATGTTTCACTGACGTAGCTGTGAATTCCTTATAAAAAACTGTTTTGGGTATGCTTGAGGATTTTCTTTTGGAATTAATGTAGCGCCAAAACATTTTCGGATTATCCCTTACCTCCAGTTCATAGTTCCGAATATACCTTTTGTACAACACTTTGTTTAGCTCATTGAACTCATTTTTATAGGACACAAATAAGTCATAAAAGCGCTGCTCCTTAGTAGACTTATATTTTTTAAGAAACTTATTTCGCAAATTCTTTAGCCGTCTTAGCTTAATAGAAGACCATGGTACCTTAAAATTTTTGCTATTGAAAGTTGGAACATATTCAGTGCACAGCTTTGCAATATTAGACTTGAAGATGTCAAAACAACCTGCTACTTCGTTGTCGCCAAACAGAACTTGCCAATCAAACTCACTAATTGCTGAGTCTAAGAGATTAAAATCGCAACGAGCGAAATTGAAAGTAGTTTTAGCGTTTGTAGGAGGTAAGTCAAAAAATTCAGTGAATTGCATCTCCAATAATACAGGCACGTGATGCATGTTCGGCGGAGAGATAGAAGAAGCAGGTTGCGAAATACTAAAATCTATGTTAGAGCTAACAAAAATTAAATCGAGTAAGCGATGCAGGCTATTATGCAAGCTATTCACTTGAACTAAACCTAAACTAAGCAGACTATCAATAAGATATGACTCGCATGAGTTACAGATATTCGATGGTGTTAGAGATAAATCATTGCCCAAGTGTAACCAACTAAGATTAGGTAAATTGAAGTCCCCAAAAACGCATAACTGATTATCACCCACGGTACGGCCTATGGTAAGCACATTATCAACGTGCGCTCTATAGATGTTTTCACTACTTTGCGGCGGAATATAAGAAGCGCAAATATAAACTGAGCCCTGCGATCCACGAACACACACACATAACTGGTCCAGCAATGTATCACTAACATGTAAAGAAATTGGCACCGCACTAAGGCTGCCACGAACTGCAATCAGCACACCTCCTCCCCTGCTACATATTTTGTTCTTACACATTTTTTTGAGAGGACTATCCTAACATTTATCCTGTACAAATATATATACATTTAAACAAGGTAATTTTATTAATTATATTAATTTAAATTATAAGTGTGACCGTGGCTGTCGGAATGGACGGGATCCCGAGCAGCCCGAATGTTGGGTACTGTTTAGGTGGGCGGCCCGAAAGGACGAGTTCCAGAGCCGCACTTCCTGTACCATTGCTGTGGACTTTATTCCAAGTCGCAACTTCACTTCAGGCTTTGTGGTCATATGTAAAGGCTATAAAGTAATTTGTGATCAGTCGGAAAGTACTAGTTTCCGAGCCAATCTATCTTTAAATATTCCTGTTATACAAGTGGTCTGAAAGGATCTAGATCTTGAGCCGTACTGTAGGGCGAATGGAAAGGACTAGTTTCCATGCCGACCCTCTCTACTGGAAAGGATCTAGATCTTGAGCCGTACTGTAGGGCGAATGGAAAGGACTAGTTTCCATGCCGACCCTCTCTACTGGATCAAGCAGCAATCCTTTAAAATAAAATTTTTTTATCATTTCATTCTATACATATATTTTGCAGTGGTGGTATAATCGACTTTTGAATTGTTGTAAGCTGTTGCAGCTTCTTATATTTGCCGGCAGTTCGTTGTATGTTTTTAAACCTTTATAGTACAAATCTTGCTTTAGGTTTTCCGTTTGGCAGAATGGGAGTTTAAAATTATCCCTAACTCTTGTTTTATAGGTGTGAGTGTCACTACTATACCTAAAGTTGTCACTCAAATATTTTGGAAGGGCTCCATTCTTAATATTATAAATAAATTTCATTGAGTGGAAGAAAATTAATTGTTTCACATTTAGCCAGTTTAACTCATTCAGCATTGACGAGATGCTGGTATCGTATCGGGCGTTAAGAATGTGTCTCATAGCCCTATTTTGCATTTTTTGTAACTTATCTATCTGCGTGTCCGATGTTATAAACAAAATAGTAGGGCAGTATATGAAGTGTGGTTCGACAATTGATCTATAAACTATGACTTTATATCTCCTACATAGATGTTTGCATGTTCTTTTCATAAATCCAATTTTTTTCGACGTTTTATTCACAATATGGTCAATGTTACCATGGAATTTTAATTTATTGTCAATTTGAATACCAAGATATTTAATTGTAGTTACTTCTGAAATTTTTTCGTTCTTAACATGTAACTCATGTTGTTCTAGACTCGTTTTATTAGATGAAGAAATTACCATAAAATTTGTATTTTTTACATTTAACATTAACTTATTTTTGCATAACCAGATATACAGTGAGTCCAAGTCGTTTTGCATTTTATGGATTGCTGCGCCTAAATCATCTTCGCTTATGGTCAACAATGCATCATCAGCAAACAATCTTATCTTACAATACCTGATTGATGATAAAATATCGTTGATATAAATGTTGAACAGAATAGGCGCTAGCACTGAACCCTGTGGAAGTCCAATATCCACGAGCAAATCGTCAGACAACACTTCCCCTATGACTGTGTGCTGCTTCCTGTTGGTTAAAAAGCTCTCAAACCATTTCAGCTTAACCTTCTTGATGCCTATTTGCTGTAACTTACCCAACAGTAACCCTCGATCAATGGTTTCAAACGCTCTTTTTAAGTCAATAAATACTGCAACTATAACTTTTTTCCCCCTCAAATCTTCTTTCCATTGAGATATAACCCAATTGAGAGCCGTTTCGCATGAATGTTTTGCCCGAAACCCAGACTGTTCTTTGATTAATATATTATTGGTTTCAATATACTCAACCAGCTGATTTTTTACCACTGTTTCTAAGACCTTCTCAAGATTTGGTAAGGTATTGATTGGTCGTAACTCCTCAGCCTTAACTGTGTTCTCAACCTTTTTGACCGGAACTACCGTAGATACTTTCCATTCCTCGGGCACTACACCAGCTGCTAAACTTTTGTTGATAAGTTTTGTCAAGAAGTAACCTAAGTATGGTAATGAATCTCTGATTACACCTTCACTGATAAGTTTTTTCCCACCAATTTTGTATTTAAGCTTTATAATAATTTGTTCTAAATCTTCTAATGTTATTTCTTCCAATTTAAATGTAGTATCAATATCATAATAATTATTTTCATTATTTTCTATGTTCTCAATGCTGCTATTAATATCCACTATACTGTCTACGAAAAAAGTATTTAACACCTCTGCTATTTGTCTTTTGTCTTCAACATACCGACCATTATGGTGTATTAATGTAATATCGTCCTGATTACGTTTATAACATATAGTTTGTATATATGTTCTGACCGACATCGAAAACATATCATAATAGTAGCCGTCATCGATTCGCCAACAGTTAGCGAGTGGCGAAACGAACGAACTCAATTAGGTACAACCAAACTCGCTATCGTCTATCCGTGCTAGCTAACTTTGTTGTTGTTGTCACATGCAAAATTCTTCTTTAAGCGACCGGAACTCAAACATAGCGA